CTTTCTTTCTTTCTTTCTTATATATGTCCTTGTCAGATTTATATTTGTAGATCTTAATTTTCTATATTATTTATTGTACTTAATGTAGCTTGTACATAGCATTTTATAATAAAGACATATAATAAAATTTTAAAAAAGAGAGAGAGAGGAAGCGGGCGAACCCAGTGGCTCTTTGAAAGGTGTCAAACCACAACTTAGGCAGGATGGTTTTCCCCTGGCTCCCAGAACTCTCAAACCTGCAGGAGATCCCTCTATTTACAGGGAGATTCTGTATGGAGCAAACTTGTGAGTGATCCTTGTCTTCCCCTTGATCTGGAGAGCAGTCCCAAGGAGCTGATCCATTCACCGGCTCCTCTTTCTGCCACGGTTGTTGGTTCCGCAAAAGCAGAGCCATGTTCAGTCCGCCATTGCTGTCCCTGGAAGTCCGGTGAGAAGGTACTTTCATTGTCCAACCATCTCATCAGCTGTTTAGTGTTTCCACTAAATCCCAAGCGACAATGTCATGATGACCTTCCTCCTTTTGGGCTTTTTCAAGAGTGGTCAGATCTAATAGGGAGTCCTGTCATTAAGTAATTCAGAGGAAATGCCCAACCAATTTCTCTGCCCACAAATTTAATTGAGAATTTCAAAAAGTCATTTTGGCCAACTCTAATCAAGACATTCATAGTCTTTTCCTGAAGCTGAGGTTAGGTTGAAATGTGTTAACAGCATGATATTATTGGTTATCAAGCCAGCCCTTCAATTAAAATGGAGTCCTTATCTAAAATAATCTACTAAACAGGGCAGTTTTAATCTGGATTGCGACAGATAAATTCAGCATCTTTTTCTTATCAGGATTAAGATGTTTAGCTCTAGGTCATATTACAGTTATTTCCAAATGATGTGCCAGAGGAAAAATGCTGCAGGTTATGTGCAATAAATACAAGTATTAAATCAAGTATGGGCAAACTCCCCCCCCCCCCAATCTTCCCCAATCTTCTCTGAGGATAATTATTGGGGAGGTGATTGGAAATGAGGTTGGAAGCAAAAGTTGGGAACACATGTGTTCTTTCTCTCCCTCTTTCCCTCTCACACATACTTTTCATTCTTTAAAACTGAAGGAACGTCTGAATGGATCTCATGCAGAAGGTTTTAGAAATTTGGCTGCCCAAATTCAGTCCTCTAACTTTGCTACCTCTCAACTGATAAGTGTTATCTTAGCATTGCATTAAGGAACTACAAAGTTCTAACTCCAGAGCATGGCTTTATTCCTTCTCATGCTGAATTAGTTATCTGAATGGTGGGCTGGACTGTGAAACTAACCTAAGAACTCTACATTCAGAACCACCATGGACCCAAGAGAAATGGGGACTGGAGACGTGAGGCAAAGAAGCTCTCAGAAGCAGGCAGAAGAGGAACCACAAGTACTTAATAGTAAGGAGGCATTTCAGGGGAATGGTTGATATACTTTGTTGTAAGAATGGGGGAAATCTTTGCTACATATAAATTATCTGGGAATTTTCAATTAGGTCTTGGAATTGGGCAGTACTATGCAGAGATTAGCACTTTTGGGGCTGCAGCAAAAAGCCTCATACTACTACCTTAGTAGAGAAATGCTTTGGAGTTCAACCCACAGGAGCCCCTGCCATTATGCACCACTGCCAAAAGACTGCAGAACTTGTAGTAAAAGGAAAAGTGGGTGTTATGGTTTATCCTCCTTTACACAGATATTCACAAAATAATTGTAGGGGTGGAAGGGATTTTGGAACAGGACATGATCAAATCTGCACCAAAGGAAGAAGAGAGTTGTACCAATGGGTACTACAGGATGGATAGCTGATGGAATCTTTAATCATTTGCAACTCATTAAGGAGGCAAACAGCAGATAATGGTTGATTCACACATCTCTAGGAAATAATATGGAAAATTATGACAAAAAATGGATAAAGAATTACGCATGAAGAGCAGATATGCCTTTAATTTTTGTCCGGAGATGCTAAAGTTCTGCCTTCAAAGGCAGAATAGTGCAAGCATTCTGTTGAAGAGAAACAACGATCATCTTAATCAATTAGATTAGTTACATTACAAAGAAAGCATTCAGAAAATTTCATCAGCTCCTTTTTAATGGCTGTTAGAACCTGCTTATTTGTGTACATTTTCTTGGACCCATTCTAAAAAGGTTAATTAGGATTGCACATTTATATGTTTAATTTCTATTTTAGAGTAATCAAATAAGCCATTTCCCAATTAGCAAATACAGTTTCCTATCACTCTTCATTGATTTATGTTAGCATGTTGTGCCAAATGCCTTTTTGTGTTAGTTTATATACTAAACTATAATATTTGTCAGAGGTCCTGGCAATGTTCCTTCCTCCATAGGACTAGGACTATATGACAATGTTATGTTATGTCACACGAGCTGTTTTACTTAGTAATTAAGCAAAATGGAATTCTAGGATAAACACAGATCTGTTGGCTAAAAGAGGTTAGTATCGTGTGGAAATAGTTCTGCTTTAAAAAAAGAAATGGCTACAAAATTGAATAAAAACACCCCATATAAGATGTTTCAGAGGCACGGCGGAGATAGTTTTGGGTCTGTTTTGTCCACCTCAAAGGAAAGAGAATTCCAAGAGTGGGGAATTGAACACTCAAAGTCTGGAGGTAGTAATTAAAAAAAAAACTTTCTGCAATAGGAAGAGCTCTGTCTAATCCCAACAATGAACTGACATCCTTCATTCACCCGATTTCAAATCATGTTCTTGAAAGTGAAGCCATGCTGTTTCTAATTATCTAGGAGAGATTGAACACCTGGACAGCATCATTGCCCACATCCAATGGAAGAAACACCTGGAGGTAATAACAGATGCCTTTAAAAGCAGGAGGATGCTAGACATTGCAGAAGCAAATATTCCACTCTAAATGATGAAAATGATTGATTCTATGTCTCAAGGGCCACATGTTTTCTACCCTTGCCATAGAGGAATAGGTCCTGAAGGTTTACTAGCCCTTCTGGACAAGGGAGCTTCTGCAACAGATCAGAGAAGGGGAGCAGCTGAGTAGGTTTAGAGCCAAAGCATCAGGGCACTCTGATAAGTTCAGGGAATAACTCAGTTGAAGGAAAACTGCTAGTGGTTCTCTCAGGTCTTCAGAGTTGTAGCCTTCTCTAAGAGTAGAACAGGGTTTAGGAGGTGTGTAGCAATGGCATAGTAGAATTAGGGCTTTCCCTGAAGCTAATGCCTCAAGATGTATAAACTCTCCTTGGCTTTCTCACCCTTGGAGTGAGGGAATTCAGGTGACTGGAGTTCCTGGGAACAGAGGCAGGACAGGGATCTGCAATGCAAGCAGCCAATTTCATGCTGGTATAATTTTCTGTGGACTCAGGATGGGTGGAGAGCACTTCAGCCCAGCTTTGGGGAAAGCTCTAATTCTACTATGCCATTGCTAAACCCTTCTTCCCCCATAGTCTGGATATTACCTGTAAAAGTGTTAACACTAATTCAGCAAGGCTGTCTCACTCATGGGCTTGGGTGATAAAGGCAGAAAAAGTGTTGTCTAAATACAATAGGGGAGAGGCCTTACCTCAGGTATTGGAAGCAGTGGGCATTGGAAGCACACTTGTGCTGGACTCTCTGGAGTAGGAGATCAGGGTTCACATAGAGTAGGGTTATACACTAGATCCTGGACAATGCCAGCTTAGCCACAAGGACCACAAAAAAAACCTGGGAAATGTAGAGAAAAGCAAGCCAACCAACTTCTCCTAAATGCATTCTAGGAACCTGGTATGACAGGCAGGCCTGGGCATCATTAAATTTCCTCTGTTTTGTTGGTAGGTGATGAAGGCAGAGGTACTGGAACAGGTGCACAATCAGCTGAGTGACCTCCTGGGCGAGGCCTTGGAAGATGCAGCTCATTCCTTCCCCCAGCATTTGAATGTGGGCCCAGCAAAGAAGCAAAGCAGGTGAAAGAGGTTCTTTGCAACTAATTTTAGAGCAGGGATGGGGAAAATGGAGTCATCCAGAAGTTACCAATCTATAACTTCCAGCAAGTCCTGTAAGTATAGCCACGAAGAAGGATGCTGAGAGTTGCAGGTCCAGACCATCTAGAGGGATAGATGGCCAAACCTAGATTCTATCACAGAAGATGCCACACAGAATGCATGGCAATGCCTTTGTTTAGCTGGTTCAGAAACCTCTTTACATGTCTCTTTATCTTTGCAGGCAGCAGATAGTTTTCAGCTAATTCTATGACAGTAATCGCCAATAAAAACAAAAGTACCATTAACAAGCCAACCTTCTCTCCAAGGGCTTGGCTAAGCAAACAAGTCTTAAGTAATATTTCCAGAAGGTGGCCAGAGAAAAAGTGGACACTCTGGAAAGAGTGTCAAATGCTTTGAGAAAAAAGTAGCAGCCTTCCTCAATAAAAAAAATGTTGAGAAAAAGACATGTATTCTGCTCTTAAGGATGGTCAGGCTGCATCATCCAAATACATGACAAATTACTGTTAGAATTTCAAGTTACTCCTTACTGCTTCTGCCCCTGCTTCTTGATTGCTAATGCATCTAAGTGCTGTAAACAATGTAAAAACAAATAAGGTGGGAAGAGGGAAAGAAAACTCATGCACCAGTTCCTAAAGTTATGTAGTAGTTATAGAAGAGAAAAAAGATGAATGGGAAGGAGGAGCCAGATGAACCAAGTGATGGCCTGGTTCTGCAGAAAGTGATGTGATGCACCAATTCTTGCTCTTGTTTTGCTGCTCCCACCCCCTTGCTCAGAATGAGAAGGGTTTTGAGAGATATATTAAATATTACTTGCTTTGAAACCTTATCTTGCAGAGAGAAAGATCAACTATTGAAAGAGAAGAAGAAAGTCTTTGTCTGTCAACGGTCATTGTTTGAGTAAGTATGCCTGGCCATGACGGGAACAAGACTTAGTCAGAGGGACAGCGTACAAAGTGGCCAAGTCTGTTATGCCTCAGGTTCCAAAGGTGGCCTTGGGCAAATAACTGATATCCCACTGTTGATGGAGAGCAAGAGTTGGAATTTTTTCTGTTGAGGAACTCAAAACAGCCCAATAAGGACTGAGCATGCTCCATGGCCACACAATGCTGAAACTCTTCTGGAAGTGGAGCTGGGGGGACAGAGTAGGAGGAATAGATACTGTGGATGGGAAATGGAATAAAGTATGTTTTTAAAGGTAAAGGTTGATCAGCTGGCTAGTACTATAGTACAAAGAGGCTTACTAGCATATTAGAATAAGGTTGTTCATAATCTCAGCAGGAGCAAGTTTCTTTGTCCAGATCTTTGTCCTAAAACAAAGGAACACTGACTCCCTTACCATATGCTTGATTTCTATTCAGGTACTTATCTTGGCTTCTATAATGAAGTACTGAATAATCCCTTCCTAGAAGGACTTGGCCCAACTAGATGTCAGCAGGTGGCCAACACTGGCTGATCTCAGAAAACCAAGCAGGATCTGACCTGATTAGTACTTAGACAGGAGATCACCAGAAATCCCAGACCCATAGAATGGGGAATTTAAAAACTTCCAGGAACAAGGCAATGGCAAATCTCTTCCATATTATTGTCAACAAAACTACATATCTATATCATCCCCAGGCGTCAAACTTGACTCAGAGGGGACTTTACTTTTTACCTTAAGAATGTATTGGCCTCCCCATCTGTTTGAGAGAACATTGTACTCCCAAGAAAAGGGAGTACTCCCTGGCTAAACTTTTTTAATGTCACATCTAAGATAAGAGACAGGCGGTCTGGTAGATAGCCTATCATTGTATGTGATCTATAAACTTATACTGTGTGCATTGTAGGTGCAGCATCCATTGGCTACCATCACACTTCATCTGTGACTGAAGCTGGTGTTCCCTTCTAGACAATGTAGATAGTCCTTCTAACTGGCCATCTTCTAGATACAGAAATGTATTTTCTTCTAGAGGCTATATTTCTATTACATTGACCCAATCCCTCCTCAATAATATCAGTGCCATTTCTGCTTCTGAAGCATGCTTGCTCTGACCTAACTACGTTTGGAAGGTACACAAGTCATATGGTTAACAGAAGGCACCCTGGCTGGTTCATCCCATCACTCCATGAGGTTTGCCACTGACCACTGCTGGGTGGTTTTATTCCCTACCAATGACTTCTGTTTGTTTCCCTGGAGAAACAACTTTCTGAAAAACCATGTTTCTTTGTGAGTGTTGGTTGGCAAAAGCCAATCCCATGTGGGGTATCAGGGGAGAATCAGCTAGCACACAACTCTAACCATAACTCTTATTTAGAAGTAAAAGAGGCAGCTGACAGAGCAAAAAGAAAGGACAAGGACTAATGTATCTTAAACAAATGAAAATAAATTCTGATAAGCCCTTATGTCCAGATATATTTCTTCTGTAATGAAGCACAGAAGAGTAGTTTTGTGGATGAACTATTTTGAAGAGAAGCAACATTCCATATTCTGTATTCTCTGTTCATGAATTGTTCTTATAAAGTAAAATTATAGCACAGAATATAGAATATAATGTTTCTTCTGTTACCAGAAAAAGAACGGATAAGATTACTGTAAGATCAAGTCTCAATAATGAGAAGTCCAAGATTATTCATTTGGGAGGCAGGGTGGCTATAGGATTTTAATAGATTTTTCTATCCTCAAATATGTGGAACAAATAATGCCACTTCTCTCCAAGGAAGTCCTGCTTTGGCCTCCCTCCCTTTCTCTCTCATATGTCGTAAGGTATGGAAAATCTTTTTTTCCACAGCCACTTGAATGTTATTTCCTTTGTACAAGTGAAGCTACAAGTTTTTGCTCTCCCATTAATTCAAATTCATTAGGGCTTCCAGAAAACCAGATGAAAATGTTTGAGTTCCAGGTCTTGCCCAATGATCTCCATCTATCGCTTACTTACTGGCAACTTGTCTCTCATTTACAGCATAATGATGGAAATGGAGCATTTCCGCAGTATCTACCACATATTTTTGGCCATGCTCTGCCTCTTTGCTACCACCAAAATTATTGTGGATTCCATCGATGAAGGACGGTACGATTCAGAAGCGGGAGGAGGGTAGAAGGACTGTCCTCTGATGTATGCTACGTTGAGGAGAATATGGGGATGGGGTGCTATTTGTTTTATACTAAGGGACATAGTAATAATCATGAGAGTATCTTTGCCTAATCTTTGAACTTAGATTCCATCCAAGGGTTGGCATCCTTGGGCACCTGCCAAGGCCCTGGGCACTTGCAGGGAGCCTTCTGCGAGTCCCCAGGCCCTGCTGCTTCTCCTCCCAGCTGTCACGGTCTGTTCACCTGCCTGCTACAAAGCAAATGGAATTTGTTCTTCTGCTTGTCTTTGCGCTTTTGTTGGGGAGGTGGGGGCCTTGGCCTGCCTAGCAATGAAGCCTAAGTGAGGATCCCTCCTCTGGTGCCACATTTGCCAGGCATCCAAACACTGTTATCTATGCCAGTCGCCTGGTTATGCAGTTCTCTTCTTCTCCCTTCCTTCTGACTGAATCTTGTTACCTTTTGGTTTCACCAAAAGACCCATCTGTGCATTTGTTCATGGTTGGATGTATGTGTTGTGTCACATAATATGCTTCTGCCATTTGTTGTCATGATTTGCATTTGTATTACATTCCACTCTGGGATTACTTTAAAGAAAGTCAGGCTAAATTTACTACTAATATAGGAAGGGAAAAATAAAGAAAGTGGGAACAGTGAAAGTGGTAAGATGAAGGAAGCTGGTCCAAGCTGGTCCATTCAGAGAGGATGGGATACCGGTCTTGACCTGCAAAAATCCAAACAGACATGAGATGGCAGCAGAGAGATGCACAAACATTTCTCTGTGCCCCCTAGGTCTCAGCTGGATGTTTGCAGTCCAGATCGAGTAGCCCTAGGAAAGGAAATCACAAGGGCATTTAGTCCAGTCTCTATCTGCCTACTAAAAACCTGGCTCTGGCATTATTCCAGTCTCTTGCCTATTTCTTGCCATGAGGAGGCTCCATCAAATTCAGTGCTTTTTGCTATCACTGCTCATTGTTGTTTTTATCTGTTTTTAATATTGTATACTGCCAAGAGCCATTTTTAATTGGGCAGCCTTACAAATCCAATACATCATCAAAGGAGGAGAAGGCAGCAACTTCCATGACAGGCAACTCTTGGAAATGATCTGTGGTTCTGTTGAAGCAGCAGCATGAAGAGACCAAGGAAGCAGTCTAACAGAGATAGAAGACAGAGACCCAAGTTCAGATTGGCATTCAGTCAGGGAGCTAACTGGGTCACTTTGGGCCAACTCATCTCTCAGCCTTTACTGGAAAGTGGTGGAGATAAAATTAGGAAGGAACTTCACGTGTATCACCTTGAATTTCCAAAAGGGGAGCTTTACATGGAATAAGTAAATGTCTTGTACAGTAACCTAAGTTTCACATGAACTCTAGACCAGCTGAATAGAAAGCTCGGAAGGCTATACCAAAAAAGAATTAGACATTATTCTGACAGTAGTGCTGACTGATGTTCATAGTATGACACCTCAAATATCTCACAGTCCATTTAAATTGTGCTGGGAAACTTTTTGTGGGCCAATATTTTGGGGTGAACAATAGTTGAAATGGGCAAGATTATGAAGCAAAATGAGTAGGACTGGTCATGATTTTTTCAGCAGGGGGAGATCTTCCTTCATTCTAACTGTGTTGTGCCTAGTTTGAAGATTTCATTAGAACTTTCATGAGTTTACCTCTTCAAAATAGCAGGACCCATCACCATCACTTTTCAGCAATTGCACTATTGAAGATTGGTGATTGATTGATTGATACATCACATATACAGTGGTACCTCGGTTCACGAACTTAATTCGTTCCGCGACTCTGGTCGCGAACTGAATTGGTCGTGAACTGAATCAAATTTTCCCATAAGGTTCAATGTAATTACGATTAATCCGTTCTGAACCATATGGTTTTTTTTTTT